TAAAATCAAAGCTTGCATGATAAATAGGAAAACTCTAGTGCAGAAACACTTTGCATTTGGAGCTCTAGATTTCCAAAATAAAGATCAGTAGTTTCCTCCTCCTGATGGCTCCCCGTACAAGAGGTCCTTGTGAGATGCAGTGTCATTAGGAACAATGGTAGTCAAACACATGCCTTCATTAGAACGAAAAACTAGTTTTAATTTGCACCCAGAATTCTGAACATGGCTGATCTCACTCTAAATCAACACATGGGGCAGTTGAACACTGAAATTAGTTCGGAAGCAGAAGCCAAGCGAGTGTCAAAATTACTAATATAAGTCAGAAAGCGGAGCATTCCTAATAGGGTAGTTTACTTTGTTTACAGACAAACAACTTGAACTGACTGAATCTTCACTAAGGTAAGTGGAAAGGGCAACCTGGACCTCAGATTCTCAAGAGCAGTATGTAGAAGAATCACGTAGAAAGTTTGCTAAAATGTGGATGACTGGGTGCTGCCCCTTACAGATCATTATTCAGAAAGATATGATTGGCTTCCAGAAATCTGAAGTTTAGCAGATGCCTCCCAGTGTAAAATGAAAGTGTTCTTGGCCTCAGGATGCCTATGGGACTCCTGTGGCTAGGCAGGGCTATATTTGAAGTCCAGACTAATGTGGTCCACATCTCCAAGAATTATACTGAGTAGTTGAAACTTCAGATTTAGACTCCAAGGAAATTCCCTCTGCAAGAACGAGATACTTTCCAGTAATAAACAAGAATGTTTAAATGCCCTGGGAATCAATTCACTTGCTTTTTCTTCCTTGCAAATAAAACCCTACATAGCCCTTTAAAAACAAAAGAAAGAAATAGTTGGTAATATGGAAGAGGGCCCGGTAAGTCAAGATCAGCAGAAAAAGTAGATTATCTATAATTTAAGAATAGAAATGAAGGGAACGTGGTTTGAGGAGTTTATGAAAGATTTGGGCTGGGTCTTAGGTAGCAATTCTAGAAAAATAAGAGGAAGATTACTGAGGGTAGCTTTCAAAGCAATATCTCTTAAATTTACCCAACTTGTTTGGGCTAGGAAAGATAGGAGAATAATCCAGAACATATCTCAAGGTGCAGTTCTAACCTGTGATTCTAAAATTCAGCTACAATAATATTAATTTTTAAATTAGAATAATGTGTCTAGTGTAAGTCTATTTTTCATATACAAAAATCTTAGTCTCTTCAGAATGACATTTCTCTTGGTTTTATGTAAACTTTTGGATGGAACATTTTCTAAAACTTGTTAGCCATGGTCTTGTCTTCCTAACATGATATACTAGTTAATAATCTTTTTTTTAATGATTCAAGTTCATCACTGAAACAATTAGTGGTCTAAATATAGATGGGATGCTATTATGGACAGCTAAATTAGGTGGAAATATCATAGGCATCAGATAGAGCTGGGCCCTCCACAGAGGCAGCGTCAAAGGTAGAAACACATTACAACCGTGTCTGGAGATGCATCTGCTAGAGACTATGCCTCAAGACAAAGACAAAAGGACCAGGCCTGCATACTTCCCCAAAGGACAAGATAAGCAGTAACATCTGGCCTAATGAAGTCTGGATAGATATTAATCACTCTGGTGGGTGACCAAGACCTCCAGCCCCATCATTTCCTAGAAAAAGTCTTAGTTCTTTCCCTGCACACTTGTTACATGACTTGTTCCCTATTGGATCAATATTACTTAAGCAGCTATACTCAGAACCTTATTGGTCGATCATAGCTATAACCCATGTTGTTCTGCTCTCTAAAACTTCCCTGTAAAGTGGGGGTCCTTGGCTATTCCTTCAGGACCCTCTTGCCTCTCAGGAGCTATCCTCTCAATCAATACTTCCTACTCTTAACCTCTGCTGTTACTAGAATTCATTCTTCCATTTTAGAGAACACTAACTCGGTGTGTCAGCCATCGAACAGGTTGGGAATTATAATATTTCCCTTATATCATTTGGAGGTCCTGTTTCATCTCATATATCATCCCTGTATCAATACATTTATGGAAAGAAGAAAAAATTGATTCCCAGGGCATTTAAACATTCTTTTTTGTTACTGGAGAGTATTTCGTTCTTTGCAGAGGGAATTTCCTTGGAGTCCAAATCTGAAGTTTCAACTACTCAGTATAATTCTTGGAGATGTGGACCGCATTAGTCTGGACTTCAAATATAGCCCTGCCTAGCCACAGAACTCCCATAGGCATCCTGAGGCCAATTTTAGTCTCGAGAGCCTACATTTATTTATACGTTTACATGTTATCTTCAGCAGGTTTGAGATTCACTATCCTCCTCTATAAAATATTAATGCTGCCACTACTTCTGTATGTACCAAAATTTGTTATGGGGGTCAAATTCTAAAAATCATACTAAATACTCAGTGTATTTTTAGCTATTCTGTTACTGGATGTCAGGCACTGCACATAACCAAGAAACAGACAAGGACTGGGGTTCAGGTAGATTTGCACAGATTAATCCCAGACAGCCTCATGCCATTGCCGGTGCCCCCATTACTCTGCTGTACCCCAGTCAGAGCACCAGATTCCACGGTCAGATCCTGGGGCCCATTTGTGGAAACACACAGCTTGTGTACTGCTTCTAGAGATTCCTGCTGAGACACAACATCTCCAGTATAAAGATGGGAAAATGATGAAGAAGAGCTTTCAGTGAAGTCCTATCGAGATTACTTTTTTCAGAACTGGCAAGGCAGTAAGTGGAGAAAGGTGGTCGAGACCATTTGTTTGTTTGTTTAAAATCCTGGTAACCTGAGGGAGGAAGGGCATGGGAGGGAAAGAAGTGGCTGTGAAGACAAACACATTGTGGACATTTTTTTCAATGCAGCTCAACTGGTAGGATAAATGCCAAGGTAAACTGTAGAACAAGGTAGCTTGGGGGAAAGAGGGAAAAGCCTTCCAAAGAGAAGCAATGGCATGAAGTATGAGGGAATACAGAGTATGGAGTGCTCCAGAGCAGCTCACAGAAGAGTTGAAGACTGGGAGGTAAGTGTGGATCAGCACGAAGAGCTTTCTACAGCAATCTGGACCAAATCCTGTAGCCTGCAGGGAACACTGATTTAGAGTAAAAGGGTAGGATTCGCATTCAGGGAGACCTTCCTGATAGCTACAGAAAGAAGGGTTGGAAGTTGTTCTGTGCACCAGACAGTATGAGCACAAGGATGGCCTAAATAGGACCTCGGGGGTAAAAACTATGAAATACTTCGGAAACAAAGCAGCAGCAGCCTGTTGCTGCATTTTAAGCATCCCAAGAGCAAGAGTGACGGAACCTGGTACCTGATCCTCAATGTGATCTCCATCCTCTCCAAACCTCCATTCTCTAAGGTACCTTGCACTAGCACAGCCTAGCAAATGGATGGATGATGGGAGCCACATCAGAGAGGCCGGGTTGATCTGCATTCTAAGCAGTACCAGCGCTCTGAGTACCAGTACTCTGACTTCCACTGTTTCTTTCCTTTGTAATGTGTTATTTTCTTTAGTGTCAAATTGCGAACTATTTGTTCTTCATCCTTTAAGTTTCTTTGAATGGGGACACTAAAGAAGCAAGACAGAACTGTGTGTAAAATAGGAGCAGAGCTCCCTGAGCAGCCCCGGGGACACTCCCAGGAATAGTGTGTATTCCAATCATTCTTAGTCTATTTTAGCTGCTGAACAGCAATATTTTTCCTTTCTTACCTTTGAGCGTTCTGTAGTGTTTAGAAGTTGAGGATGCCATAGAAATGATTCTGGAAAGGTATTATGAATCATTATGCTATCATGCGAATAAACCACAACTGCCTTAATTCATTCTGCAAACCACAAAGGGCCAGCCACTGCATTGAGAATACTAAAATCAAGAAGACACCTACCTGGACCTGAGGGAATAATGAAGACCCTCAAAGAAAACAAAGTCAATTATTAGGATAGTGGATTCCTTTTATTCATTTGTTTTACCTTGATTTGTTCTGATTTGTGGGTAGCACAGAGATGAATTTTATTTAGAGACCCTCAGCTGGGCTAAGGATCCCCTGTGAAGCTTTCAAAACATGACAGAGCTGCAGCTCAACATCAGATCAATTAACTCAGAATCTGAGACGGTGAGGCCCTGCGATTAATATGAAAACAGACTCCCCATGTGACCTTATCAGCAGCCTAATAGTCATCAAAGGGCTTGAGGGTCTGTGATCACCCAGAGCTGAAGAGGGACCACAAATGCGGTGCCAAGAGAAGTTCGATACTCCAGATACTTCCATGTGAGGGCAATTTGTGTCTCCTAAGTTGAGAGAAAAAAATAAACCAGCTTCCTAAGTGTGAAAATGGCAAGAGAAGGGAAGAGAGCATAGTAAATAATGTCTACTTTAAGCAGACCATCTTCTAATTTTTTTTTAAGGAGGGGAAACAGGATTTCATTATGTAATTCAAACTGGCCTTGAACTCACACATAGCCCAGGCTGGCTTTAAACATGTGGCCAGCCTCCTGCCTCAGCCTCCCAAGTGATGGGGTTACAGGCGTGCGTTATAATGCCTGGCTTAGCTCATCCTCTAATTTCACTCAGGCGTGCAGCTCTAGACCATGTCAACCGCACCAGGCACTGTGTACATGAAGACTGTAGAGAAGAACATTATCATGTATTAATAAACGTCTGGTGAAAGAATAAGCTCTAGAAGTTAATCTTCTAAAATTATTTCTGTAAATATTAAATCCCCACAGTGGCGCAAACTAATTTGCTGGATCATTCATGTTAAAAAAAAATCTTTAAATATTTAACTCTACACAATGTACACATTTCTATATGGTGCGACTCAAAACCCCTTAGGGCACTGGCATGGCCCTAAATTCGGCTCACTAAGGCTTTCTGATTAGGCCAGTATTTGGGTCTATTAATCAAATTTGCACATACTTCATAAATAATAAATGGAGGCTGGAGATGTTGCTGCTGAAATGTCAGAGATGCTTCTGAACTATAGCATATGTGGAACTCTCTTGAACAGGTCTATGCGATCTGCCAATGCTGAGTGCGAATTTTGCCGGCCTCCTGGTGGTAAAGTCAAGATTTCCTTTCTGAGCCCCGCAGGCCACTATCATCAGACTGCAGGGGGACCTCACCTCAGCCACACACACTTCCTAGGGCTGAACACACAGGAACTGGAATCCCATTGGGTAAGACAGAAGGAGGGGCAGGGGACTGGCTGACTCTTCCTACTTTCTCTCTCCTTGTTTTGAACTCTGCTGGCCAGATGCAAATGCTTAGCAAGGGCTTTCTCATTTAGAAGTACCACCCTCGCTCCAGTTGTGACTATCTCAGAGAAACGCACCTGTTAAAACTGGCTGCACATGCTCCAAATAGGCAATCCCGAGATCCCCACACCCCACACCTGAGAAACCAACAGCAGAGAAAAGGTTCCCTGGAGAGGCTTCCTCTCCCCCTTCCCTCATACTGAGGGGCTAAACCAGGCACCTTGGCCAGGGCAGGGAGGAGTGTGGCTTTTAAGCCAACTAATAAAGCCAGTGGCTGTGAGCCTCGTGCTGCCCCAGAGCAGGTAGAGCTGCTGAGGGGCTCCACAGAACCAGCTGCGGGAACCTGGTGGCGCTGGGCATCTGCAGATGTCTCCACTCAGGGCTGATACCACACAGTCTGCTCCCCTACTCTGGTCTGGAGAAGTGGGCAAAATCTTGCTCATTAAAAGCAAGCGCAGGTAGCACAACTAAGCTGTTAGGCAGTGGTGGAACTTGACAATGTAGGATAAGTCAGAATCCTGGGGGGCAAGACCAACTTGGCATTTAGGGAGATCAGAAGTCATTTTCAGGGAGCGGGGGAGAGGGGGTGCTGCTTTAGCGGCAAGGGCTCTGCTGCTGGGTAGCCTGACTTTCCGCACAGCTGCCTCCTATGGACACTTCAGTCGATAAAGGGACCAGTCTGGAGTAATTGCAAATGTGCTTGGCTCTAATCATAACAATCAGTGTGAAACCTTGATCCAGCTTGTGTCGAAGGCAATGCAGTTTTGTTTTCCTTCTCGAGGGAGCAGATGGGAACCATTACAACTCAGAGAGCCAAAGGAAGAGGAAAGCCTGAGGTTCTGCTGCCCCTGCAAGTAAGTAGGGAGTAGATTCCTGCTGTCCCCAAAGATGCTTGGAGGGAAATGCGTTGTTCTAGGACAGATGTCTGAAGAGGTAAACAGGCCATTTCATTAACTGAGCCACTTTGGAACAAAAAGACAGGAAAAGTTCAGAACTAAGTATAAATCAACACAAATTTATATAAGGATGAAGTCACTGCAGAAATAATCCTTCCCCCAAATTTCACCCCAGATATGGGTGGTTTCTCCCAGCCATGGCCATTCCCTTACTTTTTGTTTGTTTGTTTGCTTTGCTTTTCTGAGACAGTCTCACTATGTAGTTGAGCCTGACCTGGAACTCACTATGTAGCCCAGGCTGGTCTCGAACTCACAGTGATCCTCCTGCCTCAGCCTCCCGAGTGCTGGGATTACAGGCGTGCGCCACCACGCCTGGCTTGATTCCCTTTAAAGCAATGCCCACGATCCCATGGGAGATGTGCCTCTGTATCCAAGAACCCCAAATCATGATAGCACTCTCAGTTCTGCCTTACACAGTGGCCCTCACAACTTAGTAAATTCCTCCTGGCTTGACTGTGGGGATCATGGTGATGAAATGGCACCACTGTATTTGGTTATTTGACCTTTTCCCAAGCAGTGAAGATAGGGCGTAATATTCATCCACACCCTCCATTACCGCTCCTACTGTCTCCCCAGAATTAGTTGGCATGCTCGCTAAGAAAAAGGATTTGTTTTCCCCAAGGCTGTTTTAAAATGGTATAAACACAAGAGGACTGGCAAAATGGGCAAACTTGCCTCTTCTGTGTTTAATGACACCGGGGGAGTAAGGAGGACTTTTGAACTCAGTCTTTTCCTGGCATAAGGGAGCATATTTTGGAGAACTTGGAAGGAGGAAGGGACTTGTAAGGAGGAGCAAATGGACTTCTCTCAGCTGCTCCTGCCCCAAAGTGGAGGGGCCGGAGGAGCCCGGCAGGTGAGGAGAACTAGAGATTGAAGCACTTGTGGCCCAAAGCTCTGGAGCAAGAGGCAGCTTAACCTCCTTGGCTCTCAGACTCCTTTGAGAACCTGCTGAAAGTGCTGGGCCCTCTCTACAGAAAAACTGACCCCGGCCTCAGCAGCACTCATTCCTTAGGCGATTGCCGCGCTGTCCACCTCCTAGAGGCCAGCTGGTGGCTCACTGCCCAGGGCTCTGTACCTGGGGAGGCACTTTCCCAAGCGCTCCTGCTCCTGGGAAGTGACTGCAAAGAGCATGGCACCCCTGCGTGTCTCCACCCAGGGACCTGGGTACAGAGCTACGCCCAGGCGGGGAGGAGGCTGCTGGTCTCAGTTCTGTAACATCTGGTGTCTTTCAAACGTAAAATTTGGTGTCTTGCCCATTCCACCTCAGGTGCTCACAGGACAGCCACCAGCACCAGACACCTGTCCCCAGAGCAGTGGGACGGCGCAGGTGCTATGGAGGGCCCACCAAAGTCTTGGGAGCCGAAGGACTGAAGTAGATGACGGCATGAAAGGTGAGTGTAAATGCGGCAGTGAAGTCCTCTGCACCCTTAGGTGGTGACACCCAAAGACATTCAGGCTAACCCTAACCATTACTCCCTTCCACTGGTTTTTCCATTTATGATATGGAGGCATTTCTGGAGTAAAGAGGGAGACTTTCGAAACCTCAGTTCACTAAAACTAATGTTTTTAGCACCTCTCCAGTCAATATTGTCAAGATGTTAGAATTACACTAACAGTTCTTGAAGCAGACATTTCTGAACCCTGCTCTCAAATGGCGGAGTGTGACAGAGCAGGTGGACATGCTTCTGACACGGGAGCACTGCAGGGGCCTGAGCTGGCCCAGGCGAGGTGGGAGGCAGTAACTGTGCCTGCAGGTGTCCATCTAGCCCACGTCAAGAGGCCACACTGACTTGCTGAATTTTAGGACTAAATCTGCCTCAAAATGCAGGCAATTAGTGTCTTTTGCTCCTATATTCACTTATCTAACTCCTGCTCCAGTGTATTTGAAATAGGAAGATTCATAGGCGATATTGACAAACTGGAGTAGGAGAAATAGATTTGCAATGAAACTGTTATTAGCATCGATGTCCCGTCTAATGGGAGAGGAGGGCGGTGCTCGAGGCAGTGCCCAAATGGAGCAGGTTTAGAGTCTGCTAGGGTGCACCTGGGAGCTTGAGCAGGTCGACAGGCCTGGCCCTTAGGTGCAAAATGAGGGGTGCGGCTTGCTTCTAATTTGCCTTCTACTAAAAGTTACTAAGGGTCAAATCACATAGCTGGTCACAACCTGTGACGATGCATAGGTCTTCCAGAGTCACTGAGCACTTTCCTTCACTTAGTCTAGGTTACTGGCTAAGAGCACAGGCTCTGGACCTTCACTCCTCCGGCTCTCCCATGGACAGTGAGACCTGCATTGGCTTTTCTGTGCTTCAGTTTCCTCATCTATAAATGTTCAATCATTTCTGCCTCATAAAATGGCTGTATTGACTCAGTAAAGTGTATATTGCAGTAGTGTAAAACAACGTTTGCTTCATCACAACTGCTCAAGAAATATAAATGGCAATTGTACTTGGTTTTAAATTTCATCTCCGTCTGGGTCAGTGCCTCCTTTTAATTTTTCATTTTCTTTTTTCCCTTGCTATTTTCACTCATCTTTTGCTTCTGCCATGTCTCTGTGGAATCAATTATTCAGTGTAGTTCACAAATCTGAGCCTGTGATGGTCAACTCAAGTGCAACCTTCTGCTGTGTGCTTAGAGATACTGTTTGAAGCTGACGTTCTCAAAGATGTCTTTGGAAGTTGTCCTTTTGCCCATTTGTAGCAGTCAGACATCTATGGTTTCACAGTTTATTTTCTTCATAAATAGATTCCAGCCAGGAGGTCAATTTATGCATGAAACAGAGCCACCTTTCTGCAGAGGTGAAGTGGCTGGCGAGCAAATGACATTTAAGACTTGCTATGAATCTCTCTATTTCAAAAAGCTCCCACTAACCACTCCATCTTCCTGCCAGCCTCAGCAACCCTTTCTCCTACGCACACTGAAATCCCCACCATGGCTGTTTTGGTGACCGAAGTATATAACTCACTGCTTTGGGGCCACAGGGGAGGCGCTGTATAGCTACCTCGGCATACACACATGTTCACAAGGCATCTGAATATTAATTTCTGTACACCTATCAGTGCACCCGAAGGAGCAAGTATTAGCACAATTTAGAGATGAGGGAACAAAGAGTGAGGCTGAGAGAGTTGGCCAAAGGTATAAACATTCATTCGTTTGCTAAGCAACCAGTAAGTATCCAGCAAGGTCTCTGTTGGGAAGCTTAAAATACAGACCTAAATTTTAAAGGAGCCTAAAATTGAACCTTGCCTCCTCGATTCCCTTAGAGTTTAGGCACTGCATTTAGAATTTCTAGGTTCTAAAGTGGCAGTCACTTTGAAAAGTAGAGCAAGCCTTGTTGAGAGAAAAAGAAACCACAACAGTTGCGTGTCAGAAGGAGGTAAAGTGCGAGGGGATGGGAGCACATGTTTCACATAAGGGAACAGTCGACAGCCAGTCCAGAACTGTGACGGAGGAAAGAGGGCCCCTGAGAGCAGGGTCAGAGGCTCGAGCGCACCCTGAAGAAGAGGGGAAGTCTGTCTTGGCCCGGCCTGCACCTCACATGGCCCCAGGTTCAGCCGAGCTCTCCAAGTATTGAATTACCAGCAACTGGAACTTTCTCCTTCTGGCTGGAAGGTTGAGGGAGGGCTTGCTTATTAACCATCCAGGAAAACTGCTCCTTGGCACTGTCTGAATAATGTAGTGATGTGGAGTTTTTTTATTTTGATTTATTTATTTGTGTTTTTTTGAAACAGGGTCTTCCTTTGTAGTTCAGGCTGGTCTTGAACTCATTGTGTAGCCCAGGCTGGTCTCAAATTCATGGTCTCCTCCTGCCTCAGCCTTCTGAGTGCTGAAGTTACAGGCCTGTGCCACTATACCCGGCAGTTTTATTTACTTTTTTTACTGTTAATTTTAGAGCTGGAAAAGCAATGAATGTTTTCATCTTGTTCCCCTCCAAAACTGCGTTGCTGATACTGACCTCTATTTACTCTTTGATTACTCTTTGACCTCTATTTACTCTGCCTTTCCTGCCTCATCCTGCTGTCTTGGACACCTGCCTCTCAATACTTGTCTGTCAGGAGTATCTTGTTCAGTGTGTGTCCTGCTCGGCACCCACTGCCCCTTTCATCTAGCAGCAGCACCTGGATGCCCCTTCTCCTCACCACATGCTCTGAGGGTTTGCCGTGGATGGATCCTGGACCGCCCCGGCAGCTGGCATGTGACTCATGCCCAGGAAGCCACATCCTCCCAGGATGGGGAAGATTAGACATCTTTCATTAGGCAGTGGTGTGCTGTACTCATAGCCGCTAGTTGCTCTCTAGTTTCTTGTTACTGCTCTTGTTCCTGTCTTTTCCAAGACCCAGCCACTCACTGAGCTAAATCCCTGGCCCCACCGATCTTTTCTTTGATTTTTGTAAGTCCTTCTGTCCTATCCTACCAGTAAATTCTCCTTTCTCTTCCTGTTGCCCAAGGTCATCTTCTGTTTGCTTGCATCCAGTGGATTCATAGCTGATACAGAGTTTCAGAGCAAAATAACCGCTTCCTCTGTAAACATGAAGCTCCAATATGTTTAAAGACAAAGACCTTCTGTTAGGTTGAGAGAGAATATCACTCAGTGGGTGATAATGTAGGCTCTTCCTGATTTGAATCCTGGCTTTGTTACTTACTGCAAATTGAGGCACATAGTATCTCTGGTCCTAAGTAGCTTCTACCTCATAGAATTCTTAAAGTTCTAAATCATATTATATATATTCATTCAACAGAGTCTAGAACTTAATAAATTCTCAACATTAGCCTTTATGTTCCCTGTTCCTCATATCCAGTGAGTTCATATTAAATCAAGATGAACCAGCTGAATGTTCACAATTTGAAAATTTTCCCATCAAATAACTGCACCAACATATTATGTGATTTCCATAGCGCCTCCATTTGTCTGCCATAAAATAGAGCAAAACAGATGGGTTGTGAGTTAATGAGTATATAAACTACTGTGAAATCCTTAGATAAAAGCTGCCCCTGAGCGTTGTTATCACATGACAAGTCATTGGGCATTATCACAGGGCAGGTTTTATATTTTTAATATATTTTAAATGGATTTTTTTTAGTCAACAAGTGGGATGAGGGAAATAAAGTGATGTTTGAACAGAAACTCATAAACAGTGGCATAATTACTTCTTGGCTTACACTCCTTGTTATATTCAACTCACTGCACAAAGAGTTTGCAAAATAAAAATCCCATTTTTCTAAGGTTTGCATTTTCTGGGATCTAGACCTGATAAACAGAGCTATGCCAAGCCTACTTTTGTGATTTGGAAAAGCGGAAGCACTTGTGAGTAAACATACAGCAACCACTTTTAAGTAAACTTCAGGACAGAATCAGCATCCTTTCCCAAAACGGCTCTTTTTAGTGTCTCAAATATGACATGACACTTCCACAGGTATCAACACAAAGGTTATATCACAAAGAGGCTCTCCCTTTTGTTAAAGGAAATATGATAGAAATAACCACAGTTATCCCCAATGCAGAATAGACATTCCAGGAACAGCATGGATTATAACTGGACCTGGATTTTAGTTCTGTCTCTGACACTTAGTAGCTATATGACAATGACAAAATATTTACCTTTATTTTAGCAAAGTAAAATATTACATAATCCATGAACTACTATGTGAAAAAATATCTAACCCTATACCTAGAATGTAATGAATATTTCTCTCTTTCTAGTCTTGCTAGAAAAAGTTGTTTAACCTTGGTATGCTCATAGAACTTTTAGGTTTTTAGGTCATTTTCGTGAGGGTTAAATTAAGATTAAAAGACATTTTAGAGTTATGATTTTGCTAACTACTCACCAGGTCTCCCAGTAGAATTAACAGGAACTCCTGAAGCGGTTTCCTCTCTCAAATTCCCCACCTAGGAATTCTGTGCAGTAATGAGAAATCTTGGGACCAAAAACAGAACCTGGTAACTTACTCCTAAACCTGCTACATCTGCAGGCCAGAGCCTGAAGCAAGGCACCCACAGCCCTCTGGCGCCCCCTGGAGGCCTCCGGAAGCATGCCTCTCAATTCCAAGAGCTCCAGTCTAAATTGCAGAACAGGGAAACCCAGAGCCTCACTCTTACAAGAGTTGGCGGGGGGAAAGAAGAAATAAAATCCAGAAAATGATAAATAAGGAATTTGTCTATTTTTACAAATTATTGTTAGACAAAATAATTCTATAGATTTTTGGATGATGAGGGGACCTGATAAGGCTTAGATCAAGACTGTCCTCTAAAAGCCTCATGTGCTTTTGAAAGGTAAGTTATAAGGGTAATATTGTTGATTTGCTAATTAGGAGGTGGAGCCTGATTAGAGGGGGTGTCACTAGAGGTGTTACCTAGAAGGTATATCTCCCTTCTTGGCTCTTCCTTTCTCTCTCT